TTTACTGATGCTGGGGCTAAAGATGCCTGGCTGAAGGATGAGGTTAAGGTCCTCATTGATTCTACTGGGTCTGAAGTGAACTATGCCCTGACTGGATATTGTTCCAGCCGCAAACGGAGAAGTAAGTCAGCCCGAGGACCTTGGAAGATGATAATTTGGGTGGAAATGAATGGGAACTTAAATCAATTCTTACTGAGTGGGGAAGAAAAAGGAAATACTTTGGAACGTCAGCCTATAATACTTAATCTGTTTTGTAAATACGTTACCAAGCCTGTGTTTCACAAATTGTATTTTAGCTAGCACAATAATAGGTTAACTGGAAAGCTCCAAACAAATATTCAGCATGGAAACACAGGAGACTACCCTACCACAAGGCTACTAAAAGTAATAGACTTGTTTATTACGCAAGTTCACTGAACACATTTCCAGTTATACAAAAAAGTGATTTGAATACTATTGAATCATGAAGGAGAACCAAGAAATGCACAGAAAAGTTTAATCTCTAGGTCTCCGGAGTGATTCTATGGTCAACTTCCACTAAAAGTTGCTAGAAGTTGGCCATACAGTTAACAGGAGGCCTAGAGGGAACATGTCTCTAAGCATTGCTAGGTCCTCCGGCACAATTTTATGGTATGCTTCAGCCTGAAGACCTAGACATTGTTCATTTTGGGTAACAAAATTAGGGGTCCAGAATACATGTCAAAATTAGAAAGGTCTTGGAATAGATCCCATGCAATGTGTGACCTTACTGTTAAAAAAAAAGAGCCAAAAGTTGGGTACAAAAGGGACGAAGTGCATGTGTGGGTGTTTTATATAGTTTAGGGTCCATTCACACTACATAATTCGGCTATTTTAATATCACCTTAATTTCCATATTTGCATCCCATGGAATCCTGGTATTTGCAGTTTGGGGAGCATTAGAAGCCCAGCTATCTAATACAGTGGTTCCCAGCCTTTTTTGACCAGGGACCCCTTTGACCAGGCCCCCTTTGACCACATGCCCCTTTGACCACATGCCCCTTTGACCAGGGGCCCCTTTTACCAGGGACCACTCTGACCAGGAACCACTTTGACCAGGACCCCTTTGACCAGGGCCCTAGTGACCACCTTTACCAGGAACTCTTTTGACCAGGGACCAATTTGATCAGGGACCACTTTGACCAGGGACCACTTTGACCAGGGCACCCTTTGACCAGGGACCACTTTGACCAGGAACTCCTTTGACCTGGGACCCCTTTGACCAAGGACTACTTTGACCAGGGACCACTTTGACCAATGACTACTTTGACCAGGGACCCTTTGACCAGGGTCCTCTTTGACCAGGGACCACCTTGACCAGGGGCCCCTTTGACCAGGGACCCTTTTGACCAAGGTCCTCTTTGGCCAGGGACCCCTTTGACCAGGAACCCTTTGACCAGGGGCCCCTTTGACCGGGGACCCCTTTGACCAGGGACTACTTTGAGCAGGGACCCCTTTGACTAGGAGCCCCTTTGACCAGGGACCACTTTGACCAGGGACCACTTTCCAACATTAGTACCAAAAGGATTACAAATTGGTTTTTGCTCAACTTTAGATTTGGTTTGGGGTGCTGATTCAGAAAATTGCATTGGATAGACCATATCAGCTCTAGTTTCTGATACAGAACATGTGCCATGGTCAGCGACAGGGAAAGAGTGGCAGGCGGTGTGAAAGGAGCTGAAATAAAATAAAATAAAATAAAGAGGAATGAGACTCATGGACAAGATTTTCATCCTCGTGGCCCACTGGTGGTCTGCGGTCCACAGGTTAAGAACCACTGATCTAATAGAACTACAAATCCCAGGATTCTATGAGTTGAGTGGTTAAAATGCAATGAAAGTGCTATAATTGTGTTCCACAAAAGAGCTCTTAGACAGTTTACTGCATGGCTGTACGGCAGGACCAACATGTGACTCCTGAATTATTTTCCACTTGTGAACACAGGAGTTGATGAGAGCAAAACTTTAAAACAAGGAACAAGGGATTCTTTACTTAGATCCTTATCATACTAGGTTGTTACAGTGCTATTATCCACTTCAACTTCCTATGGAATCCCAAGATTTGCAGTTTAGGGAAAGGCCTTTAGGATTTTTATCTAGAAAGTTCTTGGGCTTCACTAAACTACAACCCCCCAATTCCATGGGATGCAGTCCTGGCAGTTAAAATGGAACAATAGCAATATTTCGGTGATGTGTGAAAATGATTTCCATCTCCACAGGTGTTGCTGGAGAAGAAACTGAAGCCTCTGCCACAAGTTATGCTAATCCCTATGAAGAGCTGGCTGCCTATTCTGGTGGCTACTATGTGATGACCTCCAAAAGCCAGCTCTCCCAGATCCTAGGCATAATGAAGCTTTCCCTGAATGCTGCCCCAGCGAAGGTGGCTCATAGTCGCATGGATGGGGCGCGGTTCTCCTTTCCTGTCGATGAGACCCTCACAGAAATTAGTGTCTCTGTAAAGAGTTTAACCTCCTCTGGTTTCAGCATGACTGTGTTGCGGCCTTCAGGTATGTTGATCTGTGATGTAAAGAATGAAGAACTTTGCTGCAAGTTGATAGTGAGAAAAAACAATGTCGTGTCATGTGCTTACTGATTCTCAAATTCTGTCCACATTTGCTGTCATCCCACGGCAGGTGCCACATCAGCCTCCACTGTTGTGATCAACACAGCCAACCACAAGGTTGTGGAGGTGTCTCCTATCCATGAGAGGGGTTCTTGGACTGTGGTGGTTTCTCCCAGTGGCTCCTATGAGGTGGAAATTGGGGGCAAGAGCTTGATGGACTTTTCTTACCAGATTATGCAAAAGCAGAAAGAGTATGTGCTCCCTGTCCAAGGGCGACCAGTAAAAGGTAAGAGGCATGTTTCTCTCATGTGGAAGGAAGAACAACACCTTCTCAACCTGTGGGTCCCCAGATTGTTTGACCTACAACTCCCAGAAATACCAGATAGTTACAGCTGTTAGGATTTCTGGGAGTTGAAGGCCAAAACATCTGGGGACCAACAGGTTGAGAACCACTGTTCTACAGCATAGAGACATTATTGTCATCCCTCCGCATTAAGGTTACAGGATTCCTACAAGAGTGGAAAAATCATGAATGTTTTTTTACCTTTAGGAATTTCTAAGGCCTCCAGCATGATTCTGTGATCAATCTCTACTGTACATTGACCACAGTGTTGCAATGGAGGACCTAAAGAGCTGGCCCAAAAGTAACAAAATGAAAATCAACAGGTAGAAATGCACAGTAATTAACTTAGGCAATAAAAATGAAATGTATAGATATAGGATAGGCGACACCTGACTTGAAAACAGTACATTTGAAAGGGATCTGTATTCTAGAAGGAGACTAACAAGGTAGAACATGTGTGGAGAAGAGCAACCAAAATGGTCAAAGCCCTATGGGATGTGGCTTAGGGAACTGCGTATGTTTAGCTTGAAGAAGAAGGGGTTGATAAGGGACATAATTGTTGTTGTTGTTCATTTGTTCAGTCGTTTCCAACTCTTTGTGACCTCATGGACCAGCCCACGCCAGAGCTCCCTGTTGGCCAACCACCCCCAGCTCCTTCAAAGTCAGTCCAGTCACTTCAAGGATACCATCCATCCATCTTGCCCTTGGTCGGCCCCTCTTCCTTTTTCCTTTCATTTTCCCCATGCTTAAATATTTGAAAGGCTGCCACATCGGAGATGGGGGCAAGCTTGTTTTTTGCTGCTTTTGAAACTAGAACAATGGATTCAAATTGCAGGAAAGGGGATTCTACCTTAACATTAGGAAGAACTTCCTGATGTTTAGAGCTGTTTGGCAGTGGAATATTTATTTGTTTATTTACAGTATTTATATTCTGCCCTTCTAACCCCGAAGGGCTCGGGACAGATCACAATGCGCATATATATAGCAAACATTTAATGCTGTTTTTAAACATACAGACAGACAGACAGACAGCAAAAAGGCAGAGGTATGTTTGGCATTTCAGCTTTGGTGCCTGGAGGTTATACTCAATTCTGGTCACAGGGGGTTCTGTTGCTTCATCCACTATGACACTGAGTCATTTTGATCGTATTTCCTTCTTACTCTTTGATTGCAGGCATTTTTATGATGTCAAAAAATACTTCCCCACTTTAAACAGTCCCTAATTTCTCTTCTCACAGCTCAGCTGTTTTCGAACTCCCTAGGTGGACAGTACGCTAGGCTTAACAGTCGGGTTCTCAATCCGACTCAGGCTTCAAACTTGCCATCTTCCGGTTGGCAGTGATCTATTGCAGCTGGTGATTAACCAACTGTGCTACAGCCCAGCCCATATGCTACCTTGGAGTGTGGTGGAGTCTCCTTCTCTGGAGCTTTTTAAGCAGAGGCTGTATGGACATCTTATCAGGGTGCTTTGATTATGTGTACCTGCATGGCAGAATGGGGTTGGATTGGGTAGCCCTTGGGATCTTTTCCTACTCTATGAGTCTGTGTTCCTTTCTGGTCTCTGAAAATCAGAGAAGCTGAAAAGATAACCAGGAGAGAAGGAAAATCCTGAAACTCAAGCAGTAGACAACAAAAAATCATAGACTCATAGAATCAAAGAGTTGGAAGAGACCTCATGGGCCATCCAGTCCAACCCCCTGCCAAGAAGCAGGAATATTGCATTCAAATGGGGAAGATAAACTGAGAGATTCCATGGTTGCCCTTCTAACCACTTGCATTTTTCTCAGGCGCAAACTACACGTTCTCCATGAAGGTGATGGGAGATGCTAAAGGTGCTGAGGTCCACCGTCTGGCTTACGTTTCTGGTCAAGGAAACCCCATTGGCTCTGTGGCTTTGAATCAAACCTCTGATGCTTTTGGCAACATCTTGGCTGTTGCCCCAATTATCTTGAATGCTCCAGTATGTACTTTTTCCTTTCCAGTAATTAGAGATGTGTTGAATGTACTGCTTTCATTTCGACAAGTATTTGGCTTGAATAAGTTGATAGATTTTGATCAAGAATAAATCATTGGCATAATTTTTCAAAAGAAAATTCTAGGTTTCAGAGGGGTTGCCAAAGACCATCAGGAAACATATATTTCTGATGGTCTTAGGAACTCCTTTGGCAGAGAAGGCTGAAGATCTCTCCGCCTGTCCTTCTCTTCCTTTTTGGAAACAGATGGCAAATCCTCCCACCAAAAGCCCTCCTCTGCTGTGATTGATAGGCCAGCCTCTCAGCCAAGGCAGGGCTGTTTCTGAGACTCCAAGCAGGGAGGGGTGAGCAGGTGTTTTTGGTACAAGGCAACGTGCTGCGCATGTTCGGGTGAGGGAGAGCGTGTGAGGCTGGAGGCAGGTTCACGCCAGCAAGTCCCTTCAAGACACGGTGGTTCTGTGTGGGAAGTTTGGCTTAATTCTATCATTGGTGGGGTTAATTCTATCATTAAAATGCTCTTTGATTGTAGGTGAACTATACATCCCAGCAACTACAACTCCCAAATGTCAAGGTCTATTTCCCCCAAACTCTACCAGTGTTCAAATTTGGGCATATTGAGTATTTGAGCCAAGTTTGGTCCAGATCCATCATTGTTTGAGTCCACAGTGCTCTCTGGATGTAAGTGAACTACAACTCCAAAAACAAGGTCAATGCCCACCAAACCCTTCCAGTATTTTCTGTTGGTCATGGGAGTTCTGTGTGCCAAGTTTATTTCAGTTCCATCATTGGTGGATTTCAGAATATTCTTTGATTGTAGGTGAACTATAAATCCCAGCAACTACAGCTCCCAAATGACAAGATCAATACCTCCCCCCCCCCCACCAGTATTCAAATTTGGACGTATCAGGTATTTGTGCCAAATTTCATCCAGTAAATGAAAATACATCCTGCACATCAGATATTTACATTACGATTCATAACAGTAGCAAATTTGCAGTTATGAAGTAGCAACAAAAATAATTTTATGGTTGGGGGTCACCACAACATGAGGAACTGTATTAAGGGTTTGCTGCATTAGGAGGGTTGAGACACCTATTAAGAGGAAGCAGATATATTTGATAACTATAAGCATCAGTTGTGAAACTGGAAATCATTTGTCTATTCCTTGTATTTTTAGTTTGTTAGATTTTAGGGTTTTTATTTTCTTAATGTAACTGTTAGCTTTTTAGTGTTTGTTTGCTTTATTATTGTCTTTTTCTTTTTTTCTTTTTTGCAATTGTGTAAGTTTTTTCCTATGTGTTGTATCTTGAACATATCAAAGTATACAGGGACAGTGTTAAAGATCTCCAGCTGCATTTCAGGTTTCTTCTTCATTGTCTTTTAGACTACCCTGCTGATTGTAGAAGGCCTCTCTCCAAGTGGGCTTCCTTTTTCACGAGTGAGTGCTGAACCCATCACCACGGAGTCGGTGCAGATCTTGCCCTTGCCGGGTCAAAATGGTGAGTTGGAAAGGACAACTCTGCCCATTTCAGCTTCCTTCATTTTTCTTAATCTTGAATTCATTTCCTTCTCTTTTCACATGAATGGGATTTTCAGCTGCAGAAGTGTCTGCAGACGGATTTCAAAATGCTTGGAGCAAAAGTCCAAACCCAAAATGTATTTACGTTTTATGCATGCCTTATACACATAGGCTGAACATAATTGAATATTTAGGTTTTTAAAATAATTTTGTTGCATGAAATAGTTTGCATTCATTGAACCATCAAACAGCAAAGGTGTCAAGATCTCACCAGTCTGCTATCGAGCACAATTCAAAGTGCTGGCTTTAGCCTATAAAGCCCTAAACGGTTCTGGCCCAGCTTACTTGTCTGAATGTATCTCCCTCTGTGATCCACCTCAGAGGTTAAGATCATTGAGGGAGGCCCTGCTCTCTAGGTCCTACTCTCGATCCAGCCACCCTTGCAAGTGTGATTGGTGGGGACAAGCGAAAGGGCCTTCTCGGTGGTGACCCCCCATCTGTGGAACTCACTCCCTAATGAAATCAGGTCAGCTCCCCTCTCTCCTATGCTTTAGAAAGAAACTAAAATCATGGTTGTGGGACCAAGCATTTGAGCAGCAGACACAGTGATAATAATTGGAAATGACTTATGTGATTGACAATGGACAGACCTCAGATTATGAATCTGGATTTGGATTTGTCTCTTTTAAATTGATGTTTTAAGTTTGATGTTTTAACAAATCATAGAATCCTAGAGTTGGAAGAGACCTTATGGGCCATCCAGTCTAATCCCCTGCCAAGAAGCAGGAAAATTGCATTCAAACCACCCTCTGACAGATGGCCATCCAGCCTCTGTTTAAAAGCTTCCAAAGAAGGAGCCTCCACCACACTCCGGGCAGAGAGTTCCACTGCTGAACGGCTCTCACAGTCAGGAAGTTCTTCCTAATGTTCAGATGGAGTCTCCTTTCTTGTAGTTTGAAGCCATTGTTCTGCGTCCTAGTCTCCAGAGCAGCAGAAAACAATGTTTAAGTGTGATTTCAACACTATTGTTGTTGGCATCTTAAGGATGCTGGTTGTGAGTCGCCCTGAGTCCCACCCTGGGGGTGAGAAGGACAGGATATAAATGTATGAAAGAAGAAGAAGAAGAAGAAGAAGAAGAAGAAGAAGAAGAAGAAGAACCACCACCTAGGTGGATAATTTTGGAGTTTGAAGCATTTCGGATTTTTTGGAGGTGGGATACTCACCATTATTATGATATTATATGAAGGCAAGATACCTGTTGTTCTTTTTATAATTTTACAATTTGTAGTTGTTTTTATGCAGCCCCTGAAAAATGGCCATCAAAATATATAAACCTGGGACTTTTTGCAGTAAAAAATTAAAATAGTAATCTATCAAGGACTTAGGTGTATCTCTCAGTTTTTTCTGTAACTTTCATACATATTTCCATGCAACACATGCAGTTGCATTCACCATTCACCATCCTTACTCTGGTTAGGGGAACCTGGGGGCCCTTCCACACAGCCATATAATCCAGAATATCAAGGCTAATAATCCACATCATCTGCTTTGAACCTGGTTATCTGAATCCACACTGCCATATAATCCAGTTCAAAGCAGATAATGCGGATTTTATACAGCAGTGTGGAAGAGGCCTGAGGGTTGTAGGCCAAGCAAAGTATTTTGTTTATTTATTTCTCTATTTATTTGCAACATTTATATGCCACCCTTCCACCCGGAAGAGGACTCAGAGCGGCTTACAAGTAATATGTAAATACAATATATTATATTACTACCATAGCACAATATTAGTATTATATATTACTATATTGTACTATACCGTTATACTGTAATATTATTATTAATATTACATGTAATATAAAATATATAATTATAATATCATATTATTATTGCTAGTATTATATTGTATCACATTATAATATTATCAATATTATCTGTATTTATTATATTATATTATATTATTATTATTATTATTAGCACAGTGCAGGAGACAAGATGGGACTGTCTTCCTGGCCCCTCTCTTCACTCTGGTCCCACATCAGCAGTTGGTGCTGAGGGAAGGGGCTCCCAACTGATGACACAGGAGACAAGATGGAACTGTCTTTCTGGTCCCTCTCTTCACTCTAATCCCAGAGGCCTGCTGCAAACTTGTGCTACCAATCTTGTGAACATTTTATTCTGGTCTTCTTAGGGACGCTGTCACCCGGGGAGACCTTGGAGCTCTCTGTCGTGGTGGTAAATGATGGGCCAGCCGCTTCGTTCTCCTTCAAGGTCTTGGATGACTTGGGTCTCATGAAGAGCTTCAGGCCAACATCAAGCTTCTTAAATGGAGGAGAAAACATCACCCTCACTGCAACTTTCATGGCATCTGGAGAAGACAGTAGCTTTGCCTCCAGGTAAGATTGCTTGGAAGGACATCTATGAAGGAACCAGGCAAGGTTCAGAGGTATATTAAACCCTGTAAATAAATATATCACTGAATACTAAAGTTAGGTTGGCTAGACCATCATATTTTCCATGTCTATGAATTGTTGTGAAAGTTGGATAGTGAAGAAAGCTGATATGGAAGAAAATCATCCGGACAGGGAATTAGAGTCGGATGGGCTGCTAGAGGTAGCAGAATGGGTGAGCTAGGTGACCTGGTATTGTAGATGTCCCTTTGTTCATACACCCCACCTATTCTTACCAACCCCTTACATCTTCTTCCAGTATCGCAACGTTCACTGCAAAGAGTGCAACAGCCCAGAACTACCTGAAGCTGCCTGTCACAGTCATTCCTGAGACAGCCCTGGTGAGTTTGACCTCCATATAGACTGTCTGTGGTTACTGCTAATGCCTAGCATTCAGTTAAAGGTTCTTTATTTCATGTCAGCTCTGAAAACAGTCTCCTAATAATCATGTCACAAGGACTGCCATGGAGCTCCCGGTAACGCAGTGGGCTAAACCGCTGAGCTGCTGAATTTGCTGACCAAAAGGTTGGTGGTTCAAATTCAGGAAGTGGGCTGAGCTCCCACTGTTAGTTCCAGCTTCTGCCAATCTAGCAGTTTGAAAACATGCAAATGTGAGTAGATCAATAGGTAAGGGTGCTCCATGCAGTCATGCTGGCCACATGGCCTTGGAGGTGTCTACGGACAACACTGGCTCTTCAGCTTAGAAATAGAGATGAGCACCACCCCCCAGAGTCGGACACAACTAGACTTAACATCAAGGGAAAACATTTATCTTTACTTCAAGGTCTGCCATATTATTGGGGTAGTTAACCTTTGCTGGGTTTTACAAATGTGATGGAGGAGAGTTCATCCAAGAACAAAGACTGCTTTAAAAAAGACAAATAAATGTGACCTAAAGGAAATCAATCCTGATCTCTCCTTACACGTCAAGATGTCTAAGCAGGCTGTGTACTTTGACCATATAATGAGAAGGCAAGGACACACTAAAAAAGACAATAATACTTGGGAAGATTGGACAAGGCAGTGTGAGAAGAGGAAAACTGCATTCCAGATGGACTTGACTAAAGAAGCTGACTGCCCTGAGTCTGCGAGCCCCAACAAGGGCTATTGAGTGGACCTTGGAAGTGTCTCATTCATGATTTTGCCTTAAATTGATCTACTTATATGCTTTTCCCAAATTATCTGGCAGTGTAGACTCATACGATCCAGTTCACAGCAGATATTCTGGGATCAGATCCTGAGGTAAAGGGCAGTGTAGATCCAGTCTTAGTCTTAAATGTGGCAAAATTACTATTATTATTATTATTATTATTATTATTATTATTAATCTATATAAATAAAAATGTAATGCTCATTTGTGGGATTAACATAACCCAAAAACCACTGGACGAATTCTATGAAGGAGCTGCTAGAATTTTAAAATAACCTTGCAAAGAGTCTTCACATATGTTTTGTGTGGGTTTTGATATGCACCAATGGGGGCTATTCACTCATGAGTACTGCTAACTCACCAACAGGAAACAGATGAGACCCCTCCGGTCTCCAAGCTGCTAGACTTCTATATGCCTTGCGTAGGCAAACTCCAGCAAAAGCCCGTCTGCTCTGGGCACAGTTGGCGCATGAGGTTTTCTGCCAAGGATGCTGAGAGTGCCGTCACTGTCCGAGTCAACGCAAACCCTGCCGGTCTGACATGCAGCCCTCGAGGAACTGACGGCGACAAAGATCTTATCTGTCACTATCTGTATGTACCTCTATTGTTATAAGAAATCTGGTTTAATGTAATGTGGAAGACTTTCATGTCTGAAATCACTGGGGTGTTGTGTGGTTTTGGGCTGCATGGTCGTGTTTTAGCAACATTTCCCCCTAATCTTTCACCTGCATCTGTGGTTGGCATCTTAAGATTTTCTTTTCTGGGTGTTGAAAATCTTCCTGTGATGGAGAATCTCTCTCCTGCTGACGGAGGGCCCTTCCACACAGCCCTATATCCCAGAATATCAAGGTAGAAAATCCCACAATAGCTACTATGAACTGGGGTATCTGGGGGTCCTTCCACACTGCCCTATATCCCAGAATATCAAGGCAGGAAATCACATTATCTGAGTGTGGACTCAGATAACCCAGTTCAAAGCAGATATTGTGGGATTTTCTGTCTTAATATTCTGGGTTATAGGGTTGTGTGGCCCTATATTCCAGAATATCAAGGCAGATGTTTAATATATAAAAACAACACAAAGAAATGAGAAATACTTTCCATTAGGACTACTAAGGAGCCCCCAGTGGCGCAGTGGATTAAAGTGCTGAGCTGCTGAGCTTGTTGACCAAAAGGTCGCAGGTTCGATTCCGGGGAGCGGCATGAGCTTCCGCTGTCAGCCCTAGCTTCTGCCAACCTAGCAGTTCGAAAACATGCAAATGTGAGTAGATCAATAGGTACCACTCCGGCGGGAAGGTAACGGCGCTCCATGCAGTCATGCTGGCCACATGACCTTGGAGGTATCTATGGACAACGCCGGCTCTTCGGCTTAGAAATGGAGATGAGCACCACACCCCACAGTCAGACATGACTGGACTTAATGTCAGGGGACAACCTTTACCTTAGGACTACTAAAGGGATATCAATACCTCTCACAAAACACTCTGAGGAACTGCTTCAAGTCTTCCCTCAGGTCTCTTAAAAGAAGAGCCCTTCCACACAGCCATATAACCTAGAATATCAATGCAGAATAACCCACAATATCTGCTTTGAACTGGAATATCTGAGTCCACACTGCCATATATCCCAGTTCAAAGCAGATAATGTGGGATTTTATTCAGCTGTGTGGAAGGGGCCTAAGATGAGCCAACAGCACCCTCTTGAGGTTAGGATCTGCTTTGCAAAAATGCATAGCTTTGCAAAAACATTGCCAGTTTTCTCTACACTTAAAAAGTAAAATTAACAATATTCTCTCTCCCATGCAGGGTTCATGCGTATGTCTGGTGATGCCATCTGAGTTCTAAACCACATGTCTAAGGGATATCTTTTATTTTAGGTTCATTGCATCCTCTATCCCAGGGTGCAATTGTAGTGTTGAATGAAGGCAGTTGGACACCACTTCTATTGCCATGGCTCAGTGCTATGATTTCATGGTGGTTGTAGTTTTACAAGGTCTTTAGACTTGTCTGCATCACCAAACTATATTTCCCATGGTTCCACAGTACTGAGACATAGCTGCTAAAATAGTATCAAATTTCATTAATTAACTTTCCACTTAGGCAGAAAAAATGAAATGCAAAGATACAGAATGGGGGGCAGGGTGCCTGGCTCAACAGCAGTACGTATGAAAAAGATCTTGGAGTCCTCGTGGAGAGGAAGTTAAACATGAGCCACCAATGTCATGTGTCACCTTAAAAAGCCAATGGGATTTTGGCCTGCATAAATAGGAGCTTAGTGTCTAGATCCAGGGAAGTCATGCTACCCCTCTATTCTAGCATGGTCGGACCACACCTGGAATCAAATTGTGTCCAATTCCTGGCATCACAAATGAAGGGAGATGTTGACAAGCTGGAATGTGCCCAGAGGAGGGTGACTAAAAGGGTCTGGAGAACAAGCCCTGTGAGGAGCAGCTTAAAGAACTGGGCATGTTTAATCTGCAGAAGAGAAGGCTGAGAAGAGATATAAAGAGGGGCATGTATAAATATGTGAGGGGAAGTCACAGGGAGGAGGGAGCAAGCTTGTTTTCTGCTACCCTGGAGACTAGGATGCAGAACAATGGCTTCAAACTACAGGAAAGGAGATTCCACCTGAACATTGGGAAGGACTTCCTCACTATTAGAGCTGTTCAACAGTGGAACTCTCTGCCCCAGAGTGTGGTGGAGACTTCTTCTTTGGAAGCTTTGAAACAGAAGCTGGATGGTCATCTGTTGGGGTGCTTTGAATGTGATTTACCTGCTTCTTGGCAGGGGGTTGGACTAGATGGCTCACGAGGTCTCTTCCAGCTCAATGATTCTATGACTCATAGCTGCTAAAGTGGTATCAAATTTCATTAATTAACTTTCCTTTTTCCATATGACCTTTTTATTTATCTGTCTCCCACATTTGTCCCAATTTATAGGTCAGACTGCTGTTCTCCTTATGCAGAAGTCCTGATGAGTGATGAAAATGGGAACACGGAGACTCTCACAATAGACTACCGGCGCCCACGTCCCTCAGCAGCCTAATGTATATTGCTTTTTGTTTGCTTATTTCACATGATTTTGCCCCACTCCTTAGGCCAGTATAGATCAAAAGGCATCTGTGGTAGTACAAGCTCTGTCGTCAAGTTCATTATTACAATTTATTTACATGTCCATATCTCTTCCAATGGGTTTATATTCAAAGGAACAAACCTATAGTCAAACAATCTAACCAAGACATATATAGAAAGACAGATTTCACAAAACAAAAGGACCATATCCTTACAAAAATAAAACAGAAATTTGTCTTAATATAAAACACTAACCTAAAACAACTAACAAACTCATTCTAAAACAATCATCCTATCTGGGTTGTTATAGATTTTTCGGACTATGTAGCCATGTTCTAGAAGCATTATCTCCTGACATTTCACCTGCATCTATGGCAGGCATACTCAGAGGTTGTGAGGTCTATCCACAATATCCTATCCCCAACTACCTGCTTTGAGTCATCTTCAGGGGAGATAAAGTGGGGTATAAATAAATATAATAATAACCGCACACTAAACAAACACCTCCTATATGTAGAACAATAAAAACAAATCTATGCCTCACACTCTCTGCCTGTTGTTCTTAATTTCTCAATTAACTGTTACCTAACTATCCTTCGACTTTTAATAATACTCTTCTAGGTCAGAAAACCAGTAATAGAATTTTGTCTCAATCTTTATTATTATTATTTGAAACACAACAAGACGACTCCACAGCAAACAAGATCACTATGCTGGCTGTTGTATTGGATCACATGTTGGATACTTCCCAAGTGTCTTAGACTGTGTGTTGTATCAGCATATAATACATGCAGATCCTAGTAGGGTGGCCTTTTGCAGCTGACAGGTGGTAATTTTGTCAGTGCCAATTGTGTTTAAGTGCAGGCCAAGGTCTTTAGGCACTGCACGCAGTGTGCCGATCACCACTGGGACCACCTTTACTGGTTTATGCCAGAGTCTTTGCAGTTCAATCTTTAAATCCTTGTATCATGTCAGGTTTTCTAGTTGTTTCTCTTCAATCCTGCTGTCGCCTGGGATTGCAACATCGACAATCCTTACTTTGTTTTTTAACTCGATCGTAAGGTCAGGAGTATTGTGCTCCAAAACTGTGCCAGTTTGAATTCGGAAGTCCCAGAGTAGTTTGACATGTTCATTTTCTGTAACTTTTTCAGGCTTGTGATCCCACCAGTTCAAGAGATGTGGCATGCTCACCAAAGGTGTCCGCCTTTTGCAAGACAATGAACCAGTTCACAACTCACATGTTGCCCAAATGGAAGCATGCTCCTGTGGCTTTGAAATTCTACCACATCCCCCTTATTCACTTGACTTTGCACCATCCGACTTCCACCTCTTTCCAACAATGAAGTTATTTTTGAAGGGCAAGCATTTTTCAGATAATGAGATTCTGATTTCCAAAGTCACAGCGTGGCTTTTGGAGCAACCTGTCGACTTCTACAAGTGAGGTGTTTACAGTTGCTTAAAAAGATGAGAGAAGTGTGGGTCCCTAGGTAGCACCTATGAAGAGAAAGACTCATAACTGTGCCAAGTTTCATTATTCTCATTGTTCTCACAGGAAGTAGGACAGGAGCAGGCCTGTAACGAGGGCGTGGTTTTAGGGGTTCAACCCCCCCCCCCCGAAATGTTTCAGATTTTTTTAAAAAAAACCTGGTTTACTCATGAATTTTAACTGGTTAACCAAATCCCCATGCTAAGTCTATGAGATGCAAAAAATTAAGAGTCCCTCCAGAACTGTAAGCACTATCTCAAGCAAATATTGACAATTTATTCACACTGTCATTACTTGCAGCAATAGCCGATGTAGTGAAGCAACCAAGTTGGGTGTGTGTGTGTTGAATGCTCTCATTAAGGAGGCCAGACTTGGTGGAGGTGGTTGACAGGGGCGGAGCTGCAGGCTATTGAAGGCTGCTCTGCCCCCTGCTGTGCTCTTTGCTTCAGCATGAGCTAGGAGGCAGGTTTCAACCCCCCCCCCCAAATTTTCAACCCTCCCCAAAATTTTCAACCCCCCCCCCGAAATTGTCACCCCCCCCCCCGAAATTGTCAACCCTCCCCAAAAAAATTTTCTGGCTACAGCCCTGGACAGGAGAAATCTTTAATGAATGCTGAGAGCAATTCTCTAGGAATGTCTAGGTCCTCCAGTGCAATTCTAGTCAGTTTCCATCTTGTTAGAGGACCTACAGAGGTTTTTGAAAAGCATTTTTAATTTGTTGTCTATCACTTTCATTGGGGATCTTGTGTTTACTGCAGTGAATACAGAGGGCTGATTGTGCAGTGAATGGCCCACTTCAAACATATCAACCAAGAAGTCTGGAATGGAGATTAATGGTGAAATAAGAGGCCTTTTGCAGAGATAGTCAAACTTGTGGGTTCCTAGTCATGCCAAATAATGCAAACAGTTCTCATGCCCAGAGATCATTGCTTTTGTCTCCGCTCAGTCCACAGCACCTGCCTTTTGTGGTTTTGTTCTTATGAGGTGGAAAACCAACATTCAGAATGCCAGAAACTGCATGAAACTGGGTTGTTGGCATGCCTTCCTCTACTGCTTCTGCAGAAATGCCTAAAGCAATTCTTTTTGTGTTTATCTTCCTCCTTCCTGAAACTATAAAACTACTGCTATTTATCTGATGTGCCAAGTTGATATCCTGCTCTTCTGTTAAAGTGGAATCCTTGAAGGAAGAATTCTTCTCTGACAAAATGCAAATCATTCATAATCCATGATCTTCTTACAAACAAACTAGAACGATATACTACTGTTAGGTGGATTTGTAATTGGTTGAGCAACCGAACCCAAAGGGTGCTTGTCAATGGCTCCTCTTCATCTTGGAAAGAGTGATTAGTGAAGTACAAATGTACACTTGGGCAGAAAAAAATGAAATTCCCAGATACAGCATAGGTGAGGCCTGGCTCATCAACAGTACATGTGAAAGAAATCTTGGAGTCTTGGGACCTTATCACATTGGGGTGTACCATACTCCGTTTTTTAATCACTTTGAATAAGATTCCATACAACAACAAGTTGAACATGAGCCAACAATATGATGCAGCAGCTTAAAAAGCCAATGGGATTTTGGACTTCATCAAAAGGAGTATAGTGTCTAGATCAGGGGTCCTCAAACTAAGGCCCGGGGGCCGGATGCAGCCCTCCAAGGTCATTTACCTGGCCCTCACTCAGGGTCAACCTAAGTCTGAAATGACTTGAAAGCACACAACAACAACAACAACAACAACAATCCAAATAATCCAAACAATCCAAAAGCAGGCCCACACTTTCCATTGAAATACTAATAAGTTTATATTTGGTAAAATTGTTCTTCATTTTAATTATTGTATTGTTTTAAAGTGATTTTTGCAGTACAAATAAAATATGTGCCGTGTGCATAGGAATTCATTAAAAAATGTCAAATTATAATCTGGCCCTCCAACAGTTTGAGAAACTGTGACCTGGCCCTCTGTTTAAAAGTTTGTGGACTCCTGGTCTAGATCAAGGGAAGCGATGCTGCTCCTCTGTCCACCTGCATTCCATTTTCCATTCTTAAGTTGGGAGTATAGTAACTACTTTGGGAGACAGTGATTGGTCATTCAGAAAACATGGCCAGTCCAGCAAAGTTGATGGCACAGGAGCACCATTCAATGCTGGTGGTTTTTGCTTCTTCCAGCATGCTGATATTTGTCTGCCTATCTTATAAAAGAGATTTGCAGGATATTTCGGAGGCAGCACTGAGTGTGATGTTGAGTGTGATGACTGTAGTTGAGTGTGATGACTATAGACAGTCCACGTTTTGCAGGTGTATAACAGGTTTGGGAGGACAATAGCTTTATAAACAAGCACCTTGGTCTCCCTATGGATGACCTGGTCCTCAAAGACTCTCTGCTTCATTTGAAAAAATGCTGCACTCACAGAGCTCAGGCGGTGTTGTCTTTCAGTGTCAGTGTTGACTTTTGTGGAGAGATGGCTTCCAAGGTAGTGGAAATGGTCAACATTTTCTAACATTATACCATTAGCTGCATTTCTGGCTTTGCAGAGGGATTGGCTGGTGACTGCTGGAAGAGCACTTTGGTATTCTAGATGTTCAATGAGAGGCCAAGCTTCGTAGTCTGTGCGCATTCAGAAGAACTACAAACCACACTAAACACCTTCCTCCTTCCCGAAACTATAAACTATATCGTCGTTGTCATCATCATCATCATCATCATCATCATCATCATCATCATCATCATTTCCTTGTCCTCCCTTTTGCTAAGAACATGACCAAAAAGCCCCTTCTTTAGCAATTCTGAGCTTGTTGTGCCCTTTGGCTTTTCTAACTTACTCCCTATGTATGCTTTGTCCCTCTAACCTTACTGATATATAGTTCAATCAATTGTTTAGGGAGGCAATGAGAGAGAGGCAGTTGGTACAAATGAAGCTTGAACTCTTAATACTACAAAGCAAGTACACTATAATGAGCATCACTGAAATGACAAGTCTCATGACTAGAATGTAGAAATAGTGGGATATAATCTGTTTTGGGAAAATAAACCAAACAGACAAGAATGAGGAATAGTGTTGAATATCAAGTAAAGTTAAACCTGTGAAGATGTCCACAATGTAAATCCTAAGTAAAAATTTAGGGGAGAAAAACAATGGGGGTGTCATTGCCAAACCGAGAACCTAGATGTTGTCTTTCTAAAACACATGAACTTATTCAGAAAGTAGAGATGTAATAGTAATGGAAGCTTATAACTATCCTAATACTTGTTGTAAGACAAACTCTGTCAAGAATATCAGGTCCAGCGAATGTCTCACTTGACTTGCAGACAATTTCATGGTCCAGAAGGTGGAAAGGAATGCTTTGTTCAAGGCTGAAGAGCCCACAACTGTACCTTCACCTCAAAACCAGAAGCAGCTCTACTAAGGAAGAGTATGTAATGTTTGAACAGGGTTAATTTCAGTTAATTTGCATGTAAGAGGGTGTTTATAAGCGTATATTCTTTGTCCACTTGAGGAAGAATTGATAAATATTCTCCCTCTATTGTAACCTGAGACATTTTGCTGCACGAGAAAGAGCAGAATATACATAGTCCTCCCCTATCAAGGCACAGTGTCCACAGCCAGGAAAAAAAATATTTTAGTACAGGAGGCAGAATATTCCTGAAGTGCCTTTTCTGTTTACTGATAGTTTATATAGTTTCAAGAAAAATTGCTGCCTTTTTCATGACAACTAAGTTCTGCTGCCTGGCATAGCTGCTTCAGTCTGTCTAATCTGTATTGTCTCTTCCGGCCTGTTTCAACCTGGGATATATTCACACAACATACATATAGCACGTTGTTGCC